ATGTAACTAACTAAAACCATGTTACATGTACAGAAAAAGATGGCTGTGAAGAGAGAAAAAGAGAGAGAATATTATAAAACAAATTTTATACAACATACAATAAATTACCAAAAGTATGTAGAAAATATCTTCAAATTAATATTAATAAGTATTGGGCCCATCTTTATCATTAATCAAAGCCTTGACTCACTACTAACCCTAAATACCAGTGTTAGTACACATCTGGTGAAATAAACTTGCCACTCTTTCAGAGCAACTCCAAATGTAGAGATTTATGAGACAAATACTGGATGTTTGGTCATTAACCATGGCTGGACATTGCATGTTTTTGGTAAAACTCTGACAAAGCATTCACAGCTACAATAGCTATTATCAATGGACCCTGTCTAAAGCAGCCAAGGCAGGCACATATCATGCAGTATGGCATGGTGTATTATCATACTGATAGAAGAAATGCTAAATAGTGTCCTTCTATAGAATATCTTCAATGCGTGCAGTGAATATAGCATTATCCAAAATATAACAGTATACTAAGACTTTTATGACTCCCTTAACTATTATCAGTGGACAAAGTTCATATTAGTTCAAAGAGATTCATACTGTGTTAGTATCCTGACTACTATTCATGGTTAAAATAACACAGCCATTTTTTTTTTTTAGATTTTGTTCTTCATTCTGTTCCCTTGCCCCAGTCCCATGCATGTGAAATAAACAGAGGTTAGCAGAATTTATCACTCATTACTGTTTTCTATTGTTTTTTTCCCCCCAGCTTAAGCTACAATGAGAACTGGTAATTTGTGTAGAGAACTTTGTTGAATAAGTTAATTTAGTTGGGCCCATTAATAGCTTGGGTCATACTGTTGTAATATGTTTGGTAACATTGTGTACACTATCTTGTCAAATGCATCTGGGCATCTTTTGATCATGTATCAAAAGTCACCTAGCATTTTCAGCAAGCAAAGTCGTTAACATAAATGTCAACATCTTTGAGCGGGCTTCTGAGAAACCAGGTTTAACCATATAGAACAGCTTTGAAACTCTGGAGTGAATCCTTTTGACACAGAATCCTGTGTGTGGTAAAGGTACCAGGGAAGGTTCTATCCCTGAAGTGGAGGAGAGGATCCTGGTTGTTGAGTGGTGCATATGTCACTGCAACACATAACATTGCTTTTGAATTCCTGTAGATGGGAGGCCCTGAGATAATCCTCTCAGGAAAGTCAACTGGTGGCTAGGATCAGGCAAGTGCCAGTATTGGAAATCCTCAAGGGTTGTTGTAGAAATTATCTGGTAATGGTGTTTGGGAATAGTGCTTTCAAAACTCTTAGTGTTGCTGTATTGTCCTCAGTGTGTTTCCTTGTATAAATGTGTTGAATTTCTGTTCATAAGAATGGGAAATATGAGCTGGTTAGGCTACTTATTGCTGTATTTTCTTTGCTTCCCTGTAACTGTCAAGGTGGGGTATTTGAATTGCCCTATGCAGCCACGAATTGTGTCCAGTTGTTTCACTTGCCATCAATTTGGTCATTTATAGATTAAAGACCTTTTTTCATGGTTCTCCTGCCTGTGCACACTATGTTGAGAAAGACCACATTAATACTGTATGTTTATCTTAATCTTGCTGTATTAACTGTCAAAAGTTCACACTCCTTTTATTCTAGGTCTTATTCAAAATGGATGGATGAGAAAGAAGTGAAATGTCTTAAGACACTCAGTAACATCATTTATGGTGCGACATGAAAACTGGAACAGAATTTTGCTTTTGCTTTATCTTCAACTTATTCAGTTGGGGTATAAGCATCTCTGTTTATACCCCATCTGAATCCTTTTTGTCCAGGTTTTTTACCCAATTGCAGAACTCTAGCATGGCTGGGTCCAAGACCAATTTCCAGTTCTCACCTTTTCTCTTTGGAGTTGCAACTATTAGGTGATGTTGCACTGTTCATTACATAATGAGCAGCTTCCACAGAGGTTGATTAACCTACCAAGGGCAAAAATAAAAAGGGGATAAACCTTAAATGCTCCCTTCCTACTCCTAGGACTTTAGATGAAAGTGACCATTTTTATTTATCCCTTTCGATACGGGTCACAGATGAAAGGCAATGTCATCTCGTTTGTTGACTCACATTCAAAATTTTATTGAACTACTATTTCTTGAAGTTATGTCAATAAGTTTGGTATTAAACTGTAGATTATAATTCAAATTTTAGAACTATACGTTACTCAGTTTGTTAATTTAAAAGTAAATATCAAAAACACAAATAAACATCAATTTTTGTGTGTCATGTGGTATGTTGAATACAGCACTGATTCAAATTAGATGTTTGTGAAGTCAAATACTTAGTCTATAGTTTCATACAAATCAGAAACTCAAATTACAGATATTGACAAACTAGAATATAAAATAATAACATATCTTTTCTATTTGCTAAGATATAGCTCACGAAATAAATCAAACGTAGTGGCACCCCGCTCACCTCCTTCCATTTTTGGGAATGTTACCTTTTAAACACTTACTTCTATATATGACATGAATAACCAATCAGAAGCTCAGAATGTCCCCCAATGGTTTTTTAAGCCTTTCTAACAAACCTAGCATCATTTCTTTCTTTTAAATCAAGAGTTCAATGAAGTAAGTTGTGTTTTTAGTCTGCTCAAAATTTCATGTTTTTTTTAGACCCAAGTACAACTTAGTTACTGTGTTTGATAAATTGTAGTAGAATTTTATGGTATTGATGTAGTAAGTTATGATTTTTTAGTCATTCAAAAGCAAAAGTATATATATATATATACACCTAAAAAAAATATTTTGTTTCATGTCCTCCATATGCAAAAACTTTAAGGCTTAGCAACCTACATCAAGCAGAAACTGAGTACAAAGGTCATAACTAGGAGAAATAATTGTTTGCTTTACTTCTTTATTTACTGTTCTATG